CTTTGAAATTGGCTCTCTGCCTGCTGACACCAAACTGATACTTTGCGTTTCACTTCTCCTTCTCCCTTTATGGCAACAGATGTTGAAATTTTGTATCCTTTTATCTGCCCGGCTGCCCTTTCCTGTAATTATGTCGCCTTGTTAGCAGTACAAAGTGGGCTGCCTGGCCGCCTGGCCTTTGAGCCATTGTGTCTGAACACGTGTGCTCTGGTGGGTGCTGGAGGGGATGCATGCTCACACACATACATGTGACAGACACTGTGTGCCCTCTCCTCATCCCTGGTGTGGCAGGGATGAAAACCTTGAGCGTCATCTGTTTATCTTCACATCTCCATGGCTTCATCTGGAGTCTGGGGCCAGTGCTCAGTGGGCAAAGAGAGGCTTGTCACTGAGCCGGACAACTTGAGTTTGATCCCCAGAACCTACATGACAGGAGATAACTGAGTCCTTTAAATTGCCCCAGCTTCTATACGTACACTGTGGCACCCGCAACCTTTCAAAGAGACATTTGAATTTTTTTTATTTGGGATATATTCCCTTGAATCTCTTATTCCCATTGAGGACGAGACCCTTAGGCGCTCACGAGGTACAGAGGCCTGCAAAGCACAAGTGAGGGTCTGGAGCTGGACCTCATGCCTCCTGGGGCAGGCCAACTGTGGGACCAGACAGATGATAGCTAAGGCACTATGTGTGTGAGAGAAGGGTGGGGAAAGCCACCAGCAAGAGTGTATGGTAGAGCAGGCAAGCCCGATTCTGCGGTCTTGATTTCTGTTTACCAGGTGCAGCCTGATCCTTGGCTTCTTCATCTGTAAAGTGGTGTTGAGAGACCCCAGGCCAATGCTAAGGACTCCATGAGCCAGAGTATATGAAGCACTCAGCGTAGTGCCTCCCAGACACAGGGCTACTCTGCTACCTAAAACATAGCCATCTCCATCCCTCTCATGACACCACCAGGCTGCTCTTGCAGCTCAGCCGATCTCCTGGACTGGTTTCTTGGTGTGTAACTTGAAGGAACTTCCTCTGTAGCTTTGACTTCTTTATCCATAATCTGAGGGCTGATCTGAGACTACTACTCTGTTCCAAGGCATATCCACAGGCCCCTGCGGTCTGGATGCCAGAGACTGGGACGTGTCCCCTCCCTCACACTGCCAATCCTCATCACCTTTGTCATTGCCTGTCACAGTCCTGTCACTAACTAAAGAATCACTCATTATCCTTACCCAAAATGCCAATTTTCCTCATAGAAAATTCTTTTTTTCTGTTAGTTGAGTATAAATTTAGACTTTATTCCTCATTGGACTGAACACTCACTGGAAGGAGGGACAGTCAGTGTGTCCTTTATGGCACAGCTCACATCTCTGTGATTTCTGTTAAAGCATGAGACTTTGCATATAGAAGGTGCTCAATTAATTGTTAAGGGAGGGAGAAAAGAGGGAACATTATTTTCTTTAGTGATCCCTGGGCCTGATGAAACTTTCCAGTCGTTTGCCCTTGGAGAGAGGAAGTAAACACTTGTCATGCTTCAGTCTTCTTTTCCCCAGAGCCACTGTTATGGCTCAGGGTAGCACAGGTCAGATGAGGAGTCCTGACACGCATAGGGAAGCACAGTGTCCATGATAGGCTCCAGGGAGCACTGTCAGACATGACAATGTTAGAAGTAGCTGGAAAACATGAGAGCCACAAGCATGCACTGCTGTGGGCCTGGAGTCTCAGACTAGTTCTAGTACAAGACCCGGCTGGTCTGTAGACACACTCCCCCCCCCTCCCTCCCTCCC